TACAGGCATGAGCCACCGCATCCAGCTTAGATTACTTTTTATTATTTTTATTAATTTAAATTTAATTTAATTTAATTTTTTGAGACAGACTCTCACTCTGTCACCCAGGCTGGAGTGCAGTGGCATGATCTCGGCTCACTGCAAGCTCCGTCTCCCAGGTTCATGCCATTCTCCTGCCTCAGCCTCCCAAGTGGCTGGGATTACAGACGCCCACCACCACGCCCGGCTAATTTTTTGTATTTTTAGTAGAGATCAGGTTTCACCTGTGTTAGCCAAGATGGTCTCGATCTCCTGACCTCGTGATCTGCCCACCTCAGCCTCCCAAAGTGCTGGGATTACAGGCATAAGCCACCGCGCCCGGTCTGATTATTTTTAATACAGAGTAAATGGATGATGTTCCCTCTTCACCAAACAAACAAGGATGGTAATGGAGCTGTTTCATCTGAAGATATATCGGTCACCTGCACTTGGAGTTGGCTGGGAGGATTTCCTTTCCAGGGCCTTCCCCTGATCTGACATGGTTGGTCAGGGGTCAATGGGCTGGCAGAAGTTACAAGAGGGCCATGGCAGGTCCTGGGGAATGGGGTAGGAGAGGGGTGGGCTTCCAGTCTAAACCAAGATGACTGATGTTAGTTTGAAATATAAAAGCAAATTTTCTGAACAACTCATCCACAAACACCCATAAACGGCCCTGGGAAAGCAAATGCCAAGAAAATGACTGCAGGGCTTCACCAGGGCTGAAGGAGGCCCAGAGAGGAGAAAGTCCTCATCTGTGTGACCCATCTTAGAGGCAACCGTAATCTGCCTCCCAGCACCTCCTGCCTCCCAGCTCCTCTGTTACAGGTGGGACACAAGCTTTAGAGACATCCATCTGGCCACCAATGCTACTTACAGGCTGCATGAACTTCCTCCACTTCTTCATCCTCAAAATGGGCATAACAACCACCTCTCATTTACAGAGGAGAGATGAAGGTTAACAATCAGTCAACAAGGCTGAGCGTGGTGGCTCACGTCTGTAATCCCAACACTTTGGGAGGCTGAGGCGGGAGGATCACGAGGTCAGGAGATTGAGACCATCCTGGGTATCACGGTGAAACCCTGTTTCTACTAAAAAATACAAAAACTTAGCTGGGCTGTAGTCCCAGCTACTCAGGAGGCTGAGGCAGGAGAATGGCGTGAACCCGGGAGGTGGAGCTTGCAGTGAGCCGAGATTGCGCCACCGCACTCCAGCATGGGCAACAGAGTGAGACTCAGTCTCAAAAAACAAACAAACAAAAAAATCAGTCAACAAATATTTATTAAACAAGTGTTCCAGGGCAGTGTTTCACCAACTGTAATGTGTGTGTACATCACCCGGGAACGTTATAAGGGGTAGATTCTGATTCAGTGGGTTTGGGGGGGCCCTGCAAGCTCCTGAGTGGTGCACATATGATCATCCCACCTCCCCCCATCCCCCTACATACACATACATCAGAGACATATATCAGAGGCTCAGCTTCCAGAGGGAGGGGTCTGCACCCCACATTTCTGGGAATGCCATCAAACATCAGGTATACAAGAGGAGCTCAGGAAATTGGTACCTGAGAAATGAAGAACCAAACAGGGGATTCTGACAGGCAGGAGAGGCTCTGCCCAGGGCCACAGGTGACTTGGGAGCAGCTGGCCACAGGATAGGGCATTACTGAGTAACAGGTCAACATGACGACTTCTCTGCAGCCAGGAGCAGCTGAAGGCAGGACCAGGGAAGAGGTGGTTCTTCTTCCAGAGCCTCCAGCAGGGCCCAGCCCACCTCCCAGGTTACCAAGAGCCCCTAAAATCCAGTCTCGTACTCCTGGCTGGACTTGGTCAGTCTGAGCACATGTGTGACTCAAATGTTAGGGGACCAGGAGTGCTGGTGCTGGGCACAGACCACCTGGACATGGAAACAACAGGTCTTCCCATGAAGTTGTCTTATTTTTCTACCTTAGTGGGGAACATGTGGCTTTTCTATTGTTTCTAAACAGACGTGACATGGACAATAACTCTTTCCCCCTCGGAGGAGGTGGAGGTCATGTACTCTCCTACACCTTATATACACAAATATGCATGTGATGTCTCTGCACTCTGGCTAATGAAAACCCAAGACTGCTGCAACTGCCTCTTCACTCAGGCTCCTGGCTTGACATCTAAAGCTTTCCCGGAAATCAGAATGCATCTTTGGGTGTAACACAAGGGTGCACATTTCAGAGGAAGGCCGGGCCTTTGTGAGTGACGCCTCACAGGGTCATAGTGCAAGTCCCTCTACTCTGATGGGGAAAGAGGGTGAGGGGAATGTGTTTTTATGTCTTTTGAGGGTGGGGGTGAAGAGACCCAGGGTCTGTTTCTGAATCCCCTAAAAAGAACAGCAGCTTCCTGTTGGAATCGCTCCACACTGGGGCCCCCACAGAGCCTCCCAGTCTGGCAAGCTCAGGCCCCCCTGTGACACACAGGCCCTGTCCTCCTCCTCCAGTCAGGTGTGCCTAAGACCCAGACTCCCTACCCCACTAGAGAGTACCAAACAGAACCACAGAGCAGATTCCTGTGAAAAATGGCCAGTCAAGCCACGACCTAATAGTCTGGCCAGGAGTGCTGAGTGTGGGTCAGTCTGGCTCCTGCAGGCAGCCCCGCGTCAAACGGAGCCCAAGATCGAGTGGCTGTCTGGGACGCAGGACTCCAGTTCAAATACACGCTAACTGATGTCCTGGGCAAGCTGCTTCATTTTTGTCAGCCACAGTTACCTCAACTGTAACATGAGGGGTTGGCCTGGATCACTTGATTCCTTTCATCCTAGGATTCTCAGCAACAGTATCACAAGCTCCAGCTGCCTGGGTTCAAATCCCGCCTCCGCCACTTCCTGTGAGACCTGGCATGAATCACCTCACTTCTTCCAACCTTAACTCCTCATCTGTGACACAGAATGAGGGGAACACCACCTCAGAGGGTTACAGAGGGGACTCAACGAGGGTCTACCTGGCATGGAGGGGGCTGAATAAATATCAGCATTCTGTGAACTCTGTGGCCCCTGCTGCCACCACCCTCATGCTTACAGATGGAGTCAGGACCAACGACCAGCATCCTCAGCCCCTGAAGGGTGTGGTCTCTACTCTGCATGGGAAGACCCACCGAATCCCCCAAACCCAGGCAGATCAACATCGTGCACACCCTGGTAGCCACGTGCATGGTCTCAAGCACACGCAGGGTCAGGCAAACCTCAGCATGCCGGGCAGCAGGCATGGTCACTGCAGCAGGACAGGGAGGAGGACAGGCAGAGAGGAGGCAGGCAAAGGGAAGGCCATGTGCAGTCACTGGGGAACGGGAGCTAGCACAGCCCGCGACCGAGCAGCCCGCGCCGGCAGCGCCCGGCTCCTTACCTCCCCTGCAGAACCTCTGACCACCGGGACTGTGTTTCCCCCAAGAAGCTGGAGGCATGCTAGAAAGAGGAGAGAGCAGGAGACAGGGGGCAATCCGTCCTGAGCCAGGCTCAGGAGAAAGTCCCAGAAAGGAAGCCCGAGGAAGGGGGTTCCGCTCAGGGCGTCCGTGGCTGAAAGGGTTTCTAAGAGACCTGAAAGACCCAAATGCCAAATGCAAATCACCCCCAAGGCTGGCCTGTGCCAGAGGCGCAGAGCGGGGGACGAGAGAGCAAAGGGAGAAGACCACCCATAGACCAGGCCGTCCCAGAAACGCACCTGCCCTCCCACCGGCTGGCGCTGGGTCCACCCACAGTGACCATCTTGCCAGGTTTCCTGGCATGGTGTGGACCCAATGGAAAAGGGATCCAAGGATCTGGGGTGGGCAAATTCCCCTCAGGAAGTCCCACTAGCCAGAGTCAAGGAGGGTGTGCCCTCCACAGATGTCACAGTCACTCCTCCTGGGACCCAGGGGAGACAGGGGAAACTGAGTGTGTGTTGCAGGGGCCTTGGAGGACTCATATTCCAAGGCCAGAGTCAGAGCATGGAGGTTCTTGTACTGGCTCCACCATTAATCTGGGTAACTTTGGGCAAGTTATCCTCTCTGGGCCTCAGTTTCCCCACATACAAGATGGAGAGAATGTCCCTATCTATAATAGAGGGTATCACATACTCTACAAATGCCAGGCACCAAATCCCCATTGAGCCACAGCCATCTTTTCTAGACTTTTCTCTGCGGGTTGGTTTGTGCTGCACTAGGGAGACGATCAAACATCCAAGATTCCTGACAGCAGGCTGGGCAGAAGGGTTCCCGCAGCCAGGGATCCAGGGAAGAAGGAGCCTGAAGCACAAAGTTTGGGGTAGGATGACTTTAACACTGAACACATTTGGGGTCCTGTTAAATGGCATGGTTTCCCCAGCTGGGCTGTCCACAGCCCCCTCATGAAATTCCTACATCATTGATCTGTGTCCCTAAATCCCCTCCCGAGCACCCCTTGTCCCTGGAAGGCTGAGAGCTCCTCCAGGAACCAGTTCTGAACTGTTCATCACTGGGTCTCAGCCCCTGCTCCCTGGGCCACTCACGGCAGGTGCCCAACAAATAACTGAGGAGTAGCAGACTCCTACAGCGCCCAGAACCTGCTCTGGGGCCAGCGCCAGTCAGCAGAGCCAGCCTGCCAGTGAGAGGTCATACTTTGTAAACCTTTCTCAACCTGGCTACACAACTCCGCTGATGCCTCTTGGTCATGGTAACCCTGAGAGGGCAGGTATTACAACCGTATCTTCCAAACAAGTAAACTGAGGCCAGAGAAGGTGAAGAGGTGATTGCCCAAGGGTACACAGTAAGGTAATCGTTGTTGACAGAGCCAGGGCGAGAATCTGAGTCTCCTGATGTCCCAGGCACCAGGCAATGTCAACATGGCCAGTTACTACCAGCATCCACATTGGACACCAGTGCCAGGGCACGGGCACTACCAGGGGTGAAGAATCTGGACACGAGCCCAGCAGGGCCCTGGGAGTCAGAGTGCAATGAGCTGCATACAGTGGAGGGGAGCCCAGGCTGGCACTAACAGCTACCTTTGATGACAAAAGCCTCCGACAGCAGCCGCATCTGATACAGGGGCTTGTTCTCCATGGATACGTCATCGATCCCGGCCCGCGCGTACATGCTGATGGCATCTCGGTACGAGCCCTCCACGTAATGCAGTTTGCCCAGGATCAGCATGGCCTCACACATGTACTGTGGCTGAAAAGACAAGGACATGTTAGCAGCACCTTCCCGAAAGGCACCTTGGGGTGAACACCCCCCACTGAACCTTGACCCTGTTTGCCTCAGACCTTGCTCAGAACTCCCCCTCCTCCTCCAGGAAGCCTTCCCTGATGCTCAAGCACATGATCCCCGCTCTCACCCATGGTCCATAGCCTACATCGTGGCTCTCAAATAAATTCTCATATGAGTTCCTAATTGTTTCAAATGTGTGCGTTTTATGTCCCCAGCAAGACTCTATAGACCTTGCAGACTAGGCCCTGTCTTCCCTCTCCTGAAGCCCCCCAAAGACTGTAGCCTATGGGGGTCACTCAGAAGCTCAGGCATTTATTCTAAACACAAGTGGAGAGTCAGAGATGGAGCTAAGTTTTATGGAGCCCCAGGCTTCTCATTTTGGGGGTCCTCTTGTGTACGTGTATACGCAAATCATAATTAGGTGAGAGGTCTCAGAAACAGCCTGTGGGGGAGGCTTCCCCAACAGTGGTGGAGGGACAGATTGAGGAGGAGAGGGCCTGCTGCGTCACCATCCTCTTCCTATCAGAAATGGGTCAAAGAGCAGAATCACAGAGGCCAAGAGTGGCTGAATTTAAACCTGTTTTCTTTTCCCTCCTTTTTCAAAAGCTGCTTACATCTAATCTCCACTCCACAGAGGAACTCTCAGGGCCTCCCTTAGGGCCTGCAGTGGTCTGGACAGCCCTGATCACCCCTACTCTGGCTTGGGCTCCTGTGCTGCTGCCTGAGGGAGGCTGTGCTGGCCCTGGGCTGTGCCATCCTGGCGCATGCGTTCTGATCTTGGACATGGCCCCAGTTCTCCTTGTGACCTCCCACCTCTTCAGGCCATTTGTTCTGGTCCGCTGCCTTTGATTCTGTCCTCAGCTGGCTCACAATGCCTACGGGCCAGGCCCTGGGCACTGCTCCTGCCACACAGGCACCAATCTGTCCATAAAGCTCCCCAAAGATGTAGCTCTGGTCCCACTCCTGGCATCTGTCACTGGCAGGAAGGTGCTGCCCCTGTCTCCCTGCAAAGAGGTAAGAGTCTGGGGTCCCTGTGACCCCAGGGCAAGCCTCCAGCACTCCTTACCATCTACTGCCCTCTCAGAAGCCAAGAGAAATGGAGCGTGGCACAGACAGGCTCCAGGGAAGCCAAATTCTCCTTCCCTACTCGTCCTTCTGGCTTTTGTGAGTCCACATTCCTCTTTTGCCTGTGCTTCCTCAGGTTCCCTTCACCCTAACCTAACCAGATCCTCTTCCGTCCTTTGGGGACTTGCTCAGGCCCACCTTCTCCTGAAAGCCTCCCTGACTACCACGGAGCTCCCTTCAGCTGAACTCCTCCAATGCCTCTACCAATGAGCCCATTCAGCCTCGCACGCCTGACCTGCTTTCTCTATTAATTAACTCTCCAAAGCTGAATCTTTTGAGGGGATTTGCTAGTCTCCTCAGATAGGCCACCCACTCCCTGGGCCACGGCCACAGATGACACATCCCAGAGGTATGCGGCCTATAGTCCTTCCAAGCTGGGCAGTGACTCTGCGTTCCCTGCACTGGTCTCTAGCCATGGGCTCATTTCCTCCCTGCTCAGGCTGCGTCTTCCTCGTGGGTGAGGGAGAGATAATAACACCTACTCCTCACCGCCTATCACAGCGATGCTGAGGACATTAATAGGGTAAAGTCCAGAAAAGAGCTTTGAACTTTTCTTTGGAAAAGAGCAAGATAAATACAGGGTATGTGTAATTATCATTATCCTGCACATGGAGACAAGGGCAGCGAGGCACAGAAGGGCATTTCAGGCATGCTGATGGCGTGTGGCTAGCAGTGGTTCATGGAGGACCAGTGGCAGTTTACAACAGAGCTTCCACCAAGCTGGGGAAAAATTAGACAATGCAGGGCATGTTTTATAAAGCCACATTCACACTATTTAAAAAGATGCTCGGCCGGGCACGATGGCTCACGCCTGTAATCCCAACACTTTGGGAGGTCGAGGCAGGTGGATCACCTAAGGTCAGGAGTTTGATACCAGCCTGGACAACATGGTGAAAACCCGTCTCTACTAAAAATACAAAAATTAGCCGGGTGTGGTGGCATGCGCCTGTAACCCTAGCTACTCGGGAGGCTGAGGCAGAAGAATCACTTGAACCCGGGAGGCGGAGGTTGCAGTGAGCCGAGATCGTGCCACTGCATTCCAGCCTGGGTGACAGAGCGAGACTCCATCGTCTGGAAAAAAAAAAAACGGCTCTTAGTTCTGAAAGGATATCTACCTTGCCCTTAAATGCTAAGCTGTTTTTCTGTTATGGCACAGTAAGAGCAGAAGATGGTATCATTTTGCTGCTATTTCTTGCTTTTTAATGTCCTTACTTGGCAGCATGAAAAGTCTGCTGCACTCCATGGGACCCATGCATGTGGATATGAAATGTTCTTGGTCTATCAGTCCAATAGTCAGGGAACAGAACCCTCACCCAGTGGGAGGGTGCCACGCAGGAGGTCGCTTTACCAGGGGAACAGTCCCCTCTACTGTGTGGATCAGTGCATCACCTAGTCCTTTTGTGCCTCACTGTCCCTGTCAATAAAAAGGGAAAAAGGACTTCATGGAGATACCCAGGTATGAGGAAAGAACGGATGAGGAAATACTTCACAGACTAACGTGGGAACTATAAAAGTAGGGCTGTGATCACCATCCGTCACATGAATCCAACTTTCCCAGTCATTATTTTATTTCCACCCCAGTACTCTGGGAGGCAGCACCAAGAAGTGAGAGATAGCATTAGAGCATGGGCTGTAGACACCAAAGGCCTGGGTTGTCATCACCTTTCTTGGGTCTCAGAGATGGGGCTTGGCAGGGCACAGTGCCTCACGCCTGTAATCCCAGCACTTTGGGAGGCCAAGGCAAGAGGATCGCTTGAAACCCGGAATCTGAGATCAGCCCAAACAACACAGTGAGAACCCTGTCTCTACAAAAAATTGAAAAAGAAAACAAAAAGAAATGGGGCTAATAGTAAATACTATTGCAGAAGGTTCCTTGGAGGCCTACATGGGACGGTGCAAAGCCTCAACCTAGTGGAGAACAGAGTTTAGGACAAGTGGCTTGTTTTCGCTGATCTCCACACAACTGAGCTAGACCGGGTTTTAGAGATCAGGATCTTGCTCTGTCACCCAGATTGGAGTGCAGTGGCATGAACACAACTCACTGCAGCCTCAACCTCCTGGGCTCAAGTGACCCTCCAGCCTCAGTCTCTTGGGTAGCTGGGACCACAGGTGCAAGCCACCATGCCCAGCTAATTAAAAAAAATTTTTGTAGAGATGGGGTCTCACCATGTTGCCCAGTCTGATCTCAAACTTCTGGCTCAAGCAATCCTCCCGCCTTAGCTTCCCAAAGTGCTAAGACTACAGGCGTAAGTCATAGGCCAGCTGGGACTTTTATTTATCACTCAAATTACTTATTTGTTGACTGGAATTTTTACAATAAGCCTGAATCATGTTTATTTTTAAAACAATTTTTAAACATTTAACATTTAATTATTAATTTAATATTTTTAAAATGAAAAGAGGTCTTTGTGGGAAAAGCTTGAACCCCATCAATCTGGTCCAACCCTTTTGACCAGCAGATGAGAAACTGGAAGGTCTGTGGGGTCAAGGGACATGCTCACGGTCAGGCAGTTATTTTAACCCAATACAAACCTCCCAGTGCTACAATACCTGTCAAGGAGCCTAAAAGCAGTAACCTTAAACTTCTAGTACACACTCCCTTCTTCCCTGTCCCTTCCCGTTCCGGTTCCCTCCCTTACAGAATAAGCCCTGCACATCCCGGCCTGGTGTTGCAGTCTGCCCTTCCTAGCCCCAAAGTACCTTTACAACCTTGTCTAGATCCAGCCCCAGAAGGATCCAATTCTAGTACTACCATTACCCGGAGTCTGCTCTCTGCTTACCCCCAAAGAGCATCCCCCTCAGACTTGCTTCCTCGTGGATACCACTCCTATCATGGTCCACCTTGGAGGAAGGCTATTTACTTACTGATAGGACTTATCTTCCCAAGAGACTTGCAGCCTCCTTGAGGGCAGGGTCCACACTAGATTCGTCTTGATTGCCCTCAGAGTGCACAACACAATGCCTTGCACACAGTACGTTGGAATAAAAGGTTTAAGGAAGTGAATATATTACTTTGGAATATCTCTTTAAAAATCAGCTGGGCGCAGTGCCTTACTCCTGTAATCCCAATGCTTTGGGAGGCTGAAGCAGGAGGATTGCTTGAGCCCAGGAGTTGGAGACCAGCCTAGGTAACACAGCAAGACCCTGAAGAAAATAAAGACAGACAGACAGACAGACAGACAGAAAGGGTGGGGCGGGGGAGGAAGCAAGGAAGGAAGGGAGGGAAGAAGGGAGGGTGGGATCACTTCCTCTTTGAGTTTCTTTTTTTTTCTTTTTATCCCCTCCCCCTCCTCTTTGAGTTTCTAATGACATACCCATGCCACTATTATACCTCAGGATACATTGTAATCTAGAACAGCCACAGCCTCAAACTTGGATGCACATATGAATCACCAGGAGAGCTTGTTAAAACGCAGATTCTAATTCTTAATTGCATTTCTAACCAGCTCCCCAATGACGCCCACACTGCTGGTGGGTGGACCACATTTTGAACAGCAAAGTCCAGAGAAAGTTGTGACTATACTCCTTCTGGGAGGGAGAGGCGGGTCCTCTACCTCCCTCAGTGTCTTGTACTCAGTAGGTGCTTGATAAATGCACGTGGACTGTTTTTTTTTTGCATGTGGACTTAAATGGGCTTGCCCTGTTATGGAGCTCTTCTGTCCCTAGCCAACTGTGCATGTTTGCCTGTTTTTAACTAGGTCACAGGTTCCCTGAAGTTTTATTTCCCTGAGAGCCCCTTGACCCAAGGAGCCCAGAGGGCCAGGCACATATTTTTTTTCTTTTGAGTTGGAGTCTTGCTCTGTCGCCCAGGCTGGAGTGCAGTGGTGCAATCTCGGCTCACTGCAAGCTCCACCTCCCGGGTTCCCGCCATTCTCCTGCCTCAGCCTCCTGTAGCTGGGACTACAGGCGCCCACCACCATGCCCGGCTAATTTTTTTGTATTTTTAGTAGAGACGGGGTTTCACCGTGTTTGCCAGGATGGTCTTGATCTCCTACCTCGTGATCCGCCCGCCTCGGCCTCCCAAAGTGCTGGGATTATAGGCGTGAGCTACCGTGCCCGACAGGCCAGGCACATATTAAGTCAACCAAGCACTGTCCAACAGAAATATAATGTAAGCCACAAATGTGAACCACATGTGTAATTTTAAAATTTCTAGTAAGATTATTTTTAGTCACACTGAGAAAGGTAAAAGGTGAAATTAATTTTAATAACGTTTTCTTTAACTCAATATATCCAAAATATACCATTTGAACATGTAATCAACATAAAGTTACTGCTCTTTTATATTCTCTGTTTTGTACTAAGACTTTGAAACCTTGTGTATGTTTTATACTTACAGCACATCTCAATGTGGACTAGCCATACTCCAAGTGCTCAAGGGGCCACATGTAGCCAGTGGCTACTGTAAGTGTAAGGGCAGCTTGTAAGACAGACTTGTTGCTCAGGTGACCAAACGACTCAGGGAGGACTGGACAGATGGGAGGCAACGCAGATGACGAGAGGAGGTCTCACGCTTGAAGACCGACGACTTACCGTAAGCCTCCCATGGTTAAGGATACTGCTCAGATAATTTTTGGCTTCGCTCATCTTCGGCTCATTCTTCTCCAGCAAAGGGATGGAGTCTTTTATTTTGGCATGATTCTCCTTCAAACACTGCTCCAGGAGGGCCTCAGCCAGCAGCAATTTCCCAAAGTCATCTGCAAAGCAAAGTAGGGATCAGAGCAGCAATCCCTTGAACAAGGAGGATAATGGAGGGCAGTGCACACTCCTTCCTGGACCCACCCAACCACCCCTACCAGGTACATGAATGGCTCAGATCTGAGAAAATAAAAGCACATTTTCCATAAATTTCAACAGCCTTTAAAGAACAGACACAGGCATTCTACCACAATTACAGTACAAATTGCCCCTTTGGATTTATTTTCTGCTATAGTTTAATGGTTGGGAATACAGAGTTCCCAGGACCTGGGGACAAATTCCCAGAATTTCAGAATTTAAAATAAGGGACAAAGTCATACGTACGTTGTGCTGTGGATAATAAGTTCTTAAACCAAGGAATTCTCCTCAAATGATTGAAGAGGAAAAATACATGAAGTGGCTTAATAATGTACTTTCACATGCTGCTAATTTCTATGTAACCATAATTGGTTTTCTCCATTTTTAAGTGTTTTTGTTTGTTTGTTTGTTTGTTTTAAACAGAGTCTCACTCTGCCACCCAAGCGGGAGTGCAGTGGCATGATCATGGCACTCCCAGGCTCAAGTGACCCTCCTGATTCAGTCACCCAAAGTGCTGGGATTACAGGCATCAGCCACTGCACCATTCCGTTTTTAAGGCAATTTGACATGACTCAGGATAACCTGGCAGCCACGGTAGAGTTAGGTGGGAAGCAGATCTACTTGTCGCCAAGGCAAATCCTCGAACATGTTTAATACCTCTGCATTTTCTGGAGTTCTCTCACATATAGGGTATACCTGCAAATGAGGGTAGCTCATTTGCATCCCTCACCACCTAGTAGGTGGTTTTATACTGCTTGGTTTAGTGAGCACGGTGGCTCATGCCTATAATCCCAGCACTTTGGGAGCCCAAGGCAGGCAGATCACTTGAGGTCAGGAGTTTGAGACCAGCCTGGCCAACATGGCAAAACCCTGTCTCCACTAAAAATGCAAAATTAGGTGGGCATGATGATGGGCACCTGTAATCACAGCTACTCCGGAGGCTGAGGCAGAACTGCTTGAATTCGGGAGGTGTAGGTTGCAGTAAGCCAAGATCGCACCACTGCACTCCAGCCTGGGAAACAAAGTGAGACTCTGTCTCAAAAAATAAAAATAAAAATAAAAATAATACACGGCTTGGTTTATTTGCTGCCTCCCTTTACCACACTGAAAGCTCATCTTGTGAACACCAGATTCCTGCTACCTACAGCAGAGGCGGCTCGAGCATGGGAGTTGGGTGTTCAGTGTGCAGGGTCTGAGGTCAAGAGTGGTTTCACCATGGTTCTTGGGTGGCTGTGCTCATTGCCTCTCCCAACAACTGGGATGAGGAGCAGGCCCACCATTCAATATAAGCACTGAGTAAATACCTGTTGAGTGAATCGGATCTCTCAACTACCCTGCAGGGAAGCCATCAGGATCGAGAGTTAAGTGCCAGTCCAAAAATGTCCCTACGAATGCCTGCTTGGTGCCATCTTTTTCAAAGTGCTCTTTTTGCTACCAGGACAGTGTTCTCAGATGTACAGGGCTGCCATTCCCTCCTCACTCTCAGGATATCACAGTTTGCTAACATCTCATAGCCACTGGTCCAAAACTGCACGCCTTAGCCGGGCACCGTGGTGCATGCCTGGAGTCCCAGCTTCTTGGGAGGCTGAGGTGGGAGAATCGCTTGAGCCCAGGAGTTCAAGACCAGCCTGGGCAACACAGGGAGACCCGGTCTTTAGAAAAACACAAAAAACTTCATGCCTCTGAAGACGAATGTCTTATCATAAGGGAGATTCCCCACAGAGAATGATTCTAAAGCCCAGAATCCTGAGAACACCATCGCAGGGGGTTTTCGTTCTGAAGGCACCTGTTATGGGATCCTTTGCTACGTACCTCATGACTTTTAAAATTAACATTTTGAGGAAATGGTCCAAAAAGTACCTGGTTCAAACTATCATTCATTGCTGGCAGACTATAAGTTGGTAGAATCTCTAGAGTAATTTGGTAACATACATCAAAATTATTTTTGCACATCCCCATAGACCCAGTCAGTCAGAGCCGCATTCCAGAGCTGTGGGCCTTGGGGAAAGTTGCTCCCTGCTTCTAACCTGCTTTGCCTCTGTAAAGCCAGGGGTGGGGTTTGAAGTCAGAGCCTAAAGAGGGAAACGAACTCCTCAGGACGTTGGCCATGCCCCCCAGCTGGTCCCTGCCTCGTTGCCCCCTTTCCTCTGTGCACTGGCAGGGCTCGCGCCCTTGGCTGACTGTGCCACCAGACACAGCACCATCGGTGGCTATCCCGTGCACTCTGCCATCCACCTGCCCGGACCAGAGCTCCTCACTTGGGTGAGCTGCTTGGTTGGGTGCTTTCATGCCAAAGACACCAGCTTCCTCCCCAGAGCATGCCCCTTTGGACCTGGGCTGCTCCAAGTGCGGCTGGCCATGGCCTGGTGTGGGTCTCTCAATGCTTCTGATCTAATCCCAAGGAGATGAGTGCAGAAACTTAAGAGTACACTTTTAGAAATTTGACAGAGTAATTTTAAATCTGTTGAAATCTAATACTAAAAAATTGGGAGGTAGTATTTTATGTATTATTCTTTTATTTTTCTAGTAATTCATTTTTATTGCACTTTATGAAAGCATCGGAGCATAACAGATTGGAAATTTATTTTGAGACAGGGTCTCTGTCACCCAGGCTGAAGTGCAGTGGCATGATCTCAGCTCACTGTAATCTCCACCTTCTGGGTTTAAGCGATTCTCCTGCCTCAGCCTCCTGAGTAGCTGGGACTACGGGCATGCGCCACCATACCCAGCTAATTTTTTGTATTTTTGGTAGAGACAGGGTTTTACCATGTTGGCCAGGCTGGTCTCCAACTCCTGGGCTCAAGTGATCTGCCTGCCTCGGCCTCCCAAAATGCTGGGATTACAGATGTGAACCACTGTGCCTGGCCAGATTGGGAATTTAAACAAAACAAAATGGATCCTTCACCACATATCTCTAAACCATAAGAGTGACCGACTGCGAAAGAGGCACTAATATTTGTTGAGGGTTTAGTATGGGCCAGACACTTTTTCATATAGCATCATTTCATTTCCACAGCCTGAAAGGTAGGTATTATCACCATTTTATAGATGATAATAAAGATATGCAGTATTGTTAGGGTCACAGCCAGTAACAATAATAAAAACATAACACAGCCAAAAAGTACCCTGTCTGTCCCGCATCCCATGCAGAACAGAGCTGCTGGTAATTTCAAAATAAACAACAGTCTTAACAACTTAAAACAGTACATTAAAAGCTAGTTGTAAATCCGAGGACAGGGATAAGAACTGTCCTCACCTTCATATACCTGTGACTTTCAGACTATTTTGTTGACTGACACTTCAGGTTCTTCTCAGAAGGCTTTCTGCCTGCCCCTTTCAGCCCCCAACTCAATCTACTTGTTGTTTGTTTACCAGACACCCAGTAGGCAGCAGAAATTCACTTTCTTTTCCTCCTTTGCTCAACTCTCCTCTCCCTGCCCTACCTCTCTCTTGCCTTCCTCTCTTCTTTCCATCCAACTATTCTCAACTGTCCAGTCTATGGAACTGAAGGATGTTTCGGAAGTAGAACTTCTAGACTTTTAGTTATTAAATAAGAATTCAGGCCTGGTGTGGTGGCTTACGCCTATAATCCCAGCACTTTGAGAGGCCGAGGTGGTAGGATGGATTGAGACCAGGAGTTAGAGACCAGCTTGGTCAACACAGTGAGACTCTGTCGCTACACACACAAAAAGTTAGCTGAGGTTATAGGTACACGCCTAGAGTCCTAGTTACTTGGAAGGCTGAGGTGGGAGGATGGCTTAAGCCCAAGAGTTCAACGCTGTAGGGAGCCACGACTGTTCCACTGCACTCCAGCCTAGGCAACAGGGCAATACCTCATCTCTAGAAAATTTAAAAAAAAAAAAAAAAAAATTCAGGTGGATAAAGGCTTCTCTGTCATTCCAAAGGGAAAACAAGTTGCTTTTTATCATCCTGTTGTCCGAAACCTCCTCTCTATCCCAGTTCTGGTGAAGTGCTGCAGCTTCCCTCTACCCAGGGGCGTTTAAGAAGACCTTCCCATCAGACCGATAGTGAATCCAACCCTGGGTGCTGATTCTGCAGCCCTGCTCAGCACCCTGCCCTCAGCAAAGTCCCAAAGCCCCACTTACTGGCCACCTAGTCTCCCAACCCCATTGTGTTGGGAAGGCCTCGGTGCCCACCTTCCTTACAGCCCCTTCAGCTCACATCCCCGCCAGGCCTCTCCAAGAGTGCCAGGTCACAGGGACACCCTTCAAGACCCCATGTTTGAATGACAGTGATCCCCTTTCCACAACCCACCCATTCACAGTCAGGAAACGATGGTCTAGCCAGCCAGGCCAGGGTTCAGACCGGGCCCTTCCCGCTGGGGCAAACAGGGGCACAGTGGTTTCTGCAGCTGCTCACCTCCCAAGACTTATAGAGGGCTGGGACCTGCCAACCACAGCCAGGAGGAAAAGACTGAAACTAGCAAGAGGCCATCTGCCTCAAACAAACCCCTTCTAACTGAAACTGAAGAAATGTTCAAAACAATCTCCAGTCTTAAGGAGAAGAAAAAAAAAAGCAGGGCGGCGGGGGGCGGGGGGTGGTAGGGTGACTACAGATTAGGAGAAATTCAAAGGCCAGGCATGGTGGCTCACACCTATAATCCCAGCACTTTGGGAGACCAAGGCAGGAAGATTGCTTGAGTCCAGGAGTTCAAAATCAGCCTGGAGCACATAGTGAAATCCTGTCTCTACAAAAAATAAAAAAATTAACTGGGTAGCTGGGCACGGTGGCTCATACCTGTAATCCCAGCACTTTGGGAGGCTGAGGCGGGTGGGCCATGGGGTCAACAGATAGAGACCATCCTGGCCAACATGCTGAAACCTCATCTCTACTAAAAATACAAAAATTAGCTGGGTGTGGTGGTGTGCACCTGTAGTCCAAGCTACTTGGGAGGCTGAGACAGAAGAATTGCTTAAACCCAGGAGGCGGAGGGTGCAGTGAGCCAAGATCACACTACTGCACTCCAGCCTGGCGACAGAGCAAGACTCCATCTAAAAAAAAAAAAAAATGGGTGTGGTAGCATACACACCTGTGATCCCAGCCACTTGGGAGGCTGAGGCAGGAGGATCACTTGAGCCCAGGCTGAAGTGAGCTATGACAGAATAAAACCCTGTCTCTAAGAAAGAAAAAAAAATTAAAAAGAAAGTCTCAAGATGGATAGGTAGAGAACAGATATGTAATAAAGCAAGCACAGCAAAAGGTTAATAGGTACACAGGTGTTCACTGCAAATTCTTTTTGACCTTTACTATATATTTGAAATTTTTTTTTTTTTTTTTGAGACGGAGTCTCGCTCTGTCGCCCAGGCTGGAGGGCAGTGGCGCGATCTCGGCTCACTGCAAGCCCCGCCTCCCGGGTTCCCGCCATTCTCCTGCCTCAGCCTCCCGAGTAGCTGGGACCACAGGCGCTGCCACCTCGCCCGGCTAATTTTTTGTGTTTTTAGTAGAGACGGGGTTTCGCCGTGTTAGCCAGGATGGTCTCGATCTCCTGACCTCGTGATCCGCCCGTCTCGGCCTCCCAAAGTGCTGGGATAATAGGCTTGAGCCACCGCGCCCGGCCTGAAATTTTCATAACAAAATATTGGGTGGGGTACGGAGACCTAACCTAACAATCAAGTGCAATGTGTGGCCTAATTTGGATCCTGACTCTAATAAACTAATTGTAAAATGTAATTGTTAGATTTTTTGTAAGGTATAATAATGGTACAGTGGCTATATTTTTAAAAAGAGTTTTTATTGCTGGGTGTGGGGGCTCATGCCTGAAATCTCAACACTTTGGGAGGCCGAGGTAGGAGAACAGCTTAAGCACAGGAGTTCAAGACCAACCTGGGCAACATGGCAAGACCCCATTTCTACAAAAAAATTTGAAAATTAGCTGGGTTTGCTGATGTGTGCCTGAGGTATGTTGCTTGGGCTGGTCTCGAACTCCTGGTCTCAAGTGATCCTCCCGTCTTGGCCTCCCAAACAGCTGAGACTACAAGTGTGTGCCACCATGCCTAGCTAATTTTTTTGGAGGGGATGGGGGGTAGAGATGGGTCTCACTTTGTTGCCCAGTCTGCCCTTCCTTCTAGTCAGGAGGCTGAGGTGGAAGGATCCCTTGAGCCCAGGAGTTTGAGTGTGTAGTAAGCTATAATTATACCAGTGAACTCCAGTCTGGGTGAAAGAGATAGTTTCTGTCTCTTAAAAAACAAAAAAACAAAAAAAACAAAGACCAAAAAACCAGAGATCTTATTTAACAAGTACATACTGAAAAACTGAAATGTGGAGGAGAAATGGGTTGAGTATAGCTCAGATGAGACTTCATGAGTTCACTGAAGTTGGTTGATGGATACATGGGACTCATTCTTTCATGTTCTTTAATGTTTTGAAAATTCTTCATAATAAAGTTGCTTTTTAATCACTCGGATGGGAACTTTGTTTTTATATGAACAAACCCCAGCACAGCAAGCAGGACTCTGGGGTTCCCCTGTTCCATCCTGACCGAATCTAGACCGGATGTGAGTGAGAAGACAGTAGCAAGCACTTTCCCCCTGGCTGGGTGGCAAGAAGCAACCTCAGACAGGAAAAGGGTACAGGGGCCTATTTTGCTGAAGCATCTACTGATCTTTCATCCCCCCATATCAGAAAGAGTCCCCACAGCTCATCTTCCCCTTCTGCTCCCTGAATCTGCCTCTGGGAGCTACTTCTCATTTCTGTGGGAAATATCAGACACCACTGGACCTCAAGGCCTCAGTAAAATGGGTTTCAACCCCCAGTCTCAGAACCTCTCCCAATTCTGTAACTGTGGAAGCTTCAGATCACTGACTCGTAAGAGTCAAACAGGCCAGGTGGGATGTGAAGAATCTCCCTTCAGGGATGCAGGGGAGTCTGCATCAAATCCCAAAAAGGAACAAGCTCTCAATCCCTTGAGTGATCAAGGAACCCTGTAGAGAAAGGACCAAAACAGCAGTCAATCCAAACAACGCTCTAAGCATGGGCTTTGGGAGGCATTTTTGTTCCTCATGTTTCTGTGTGTGCATATGCGTGTATGACTATATGTCCCAGTGTGAGTGCATGCTTTGTGATAGTATCTGGATTTAACAGTGGGAGAAAAATCATTCACAGACTGCAAAACTGGCAGGAGAGACCCCGCTGACCCTCCATGTCCTTCCTTATACTAGGCAGTTCCCACAGTGAAGCCAGCCCAGGGTCCACATCCCCAACTCTGACACTAAGAGACTTGATGGCAGAGACTCAGGCTTGAGTACAGGCTTTCCCACATACACATTATGTGACCTCTCTGGGTCTTGGTGTCCCTATGTCTAAAATGGGGACAATAACTCCTGCCCTCCTAATAGGGTTGTTCACAAGAATATAGAAAATAGAGAAAGCGGCCAGGCACAGTGGCTCATGCCTGTAATCCCAGCACTTTGGGAGGCCCAGGTGGACGGAATGCTTCAGCCCAGTTGGAGATCAGCCTGGGCAACATGGCGAAACCCCGTCTCTACTAAAACTACAAAAATTAGCCAGGCATGATAGCCAGCACCTGCAGTCCCAGCCACTTGGGAGGCCTCGCTTGAACCCAGGAAGTCGAGGCTGCAGTGAGCTGAGATGGCACTACTACACTCCAGCCTGGGTAACAGAGAGACCCTGCTTCAAAAAAAAAAAACAAAAACAAAACAAAAAAACCCAAAAGACAACAACAAAAACCCCACAAACAATTGCCCTCCAATCACTTTCTTGCCACTGTGGGAGCTCTTCAAGGACAGGGATTTTGTGCTGTACATCTTTGAGAGGTAATAGTGCAAGTGATTTAAAGGATGTACTCAAAACCTGGGCTCAAATCCTGGTTCCACAACTTACTGGTTAGCTGATCAAGCTACTTAGTTGCTCTGTGCCTCAGTTTCCTTATCTGTAAAGTGGGGCAAACAAGAGTACTTGCTTCACGGGGTTGATTAAAGGGCTCAGGACAGTGTCTGGCACACAGGAAGCACGAGATAAGTGTTGACTATTACTATTACTATCACGATCTGTCACTCTCAGAGCCTTCCACAGGCTAGGCAGTCTTTAAAAACTATATCTGTATTCATTTATTTCTTGCCTCCTTCCACAAAGCCTCCTAAGTGATTGTGCCCACAGAGAGGACTCAGGGAGGGTGAGGTGAAGGCCCCAGGAACAGGATCTGAGGTTAGAAGCTGGGGCGGGGTGTTCCCCGCTGCCACATCAGGGTGCTTTCCCGCCCCAGCACAAGAGCCCGGCCCAGCCAAACCAGCCCTACTGCTAAAGCCACCGACTGCCAGAGTTGGATGTGTCCCGAGATCGCCACAGATGAGAAAAGTGAGGCTGGCCAAGCCTCTTCCCCATTTCTCCACCACCCCACCCTGGGGTTCGTCAAACCCTCGCCCCTGTCTGCTGCGGACAGAGCTCCGTTTTCAACTTTACTTGCAAGAACTATGAACAAAGACGAGACAGACACACTTCACCTGTTGGAGTTTAGGGACACCCCACCCTCGGACCGCGGTGGGGGGCAAGAGTCCAGCCAATGCACTGATCTCATAATGTGCAGATACCACCATTTCACGGTAGACAGAGTTAGCCACATTATCCTAAAGGACAGAGAGGAAAAGCCGTTTCTCTTCCCTCCAAGCCCCCAAACTACATGTGATTTTTCTCTCGCGGCAGAAGGACCTTCTTAACTACACTGGCTGCTCCTAAGACCAGCATGGTGGGCGGGTGGCCGCCCGTTGCCGGCCGAGGACGGTCTGGGCGCGCTTCCTGGAAGAGGCGGTGCGTTTCGCGCGCTAGCTGCCGGCGAGCCAGCCTCTTCCCTCACTCACCGGTGTCCGGAAAAGTGAACGCTGCGCTCGGGATGCCTCGCCTGTTACCTCCGCCGCCGGGCATGCTCAGCGACTGCAGCTGCCGGACCAGCTCCGGCATGCGGTCCCAGTGGCCCTCGGCGCGGCAGCGCTCCAGCTCGCTCTCCACCTTCAGGTGGGAGCCGTGCGCGCCCTTCGCAGCCATCTTCTCGCGGGCGCTGTCATGGAAGGTGCGGCCAAGAAGTGGAGACCCGGCCGGGGGCGGCGTCCCGGCTGGGGCGCACTCGCGGGTGGGGTTGACGGGGGCGCAGACGGCAGCCGGGGCCCGGGCGGCAGCGGGGGCCCGGGCGGCGGAGGGCCGGTAGCAGCAGCACCCAGCGCACCGCCCGGCGCCTCCGGGCTGCGGCTTCGGCTGAGCTGCCCGGACGCGTACAGGAGCAACCTCCGCCTCTGCTGCAGCAGCTCCTGGCGCTGCCGCCGCCGCCGCCGCTGCAGCTGCTGCCACAGCCTCCGCCCCGGGCCCCGGCGCCGCCAGCTGCGGACCCGCCCCTGGCCGCGGCTCCACCCCCGCGGGGGCGTGGCGAGGCCTCGGCGAGCCCGGCTCGCTGGCTGCCAGCGCGGCCACAGCAGCCAGGCGCGCGACGGGCGCTCGCGGACGCCCCGGTACCCGCCCCCTGCCGCCGCCGCCGCGGAGTCCGAGCTCACTTTAATCCCGCGCGGAGCCCGGGCGCCTGGGGGCGCCTCGCTTCCTGCCCCCTCCCCATCCCATCGGAGCTCTTGGCCTGGGAGACCACCGCCCGACGACCTGGCTTTGTGTGGTACCCCGTCACCGCTGCTGCCCCCGACACGTCACAAAAATGGGGAGAGGCCGGCCGACGGGCCCCAACCCCGACGGCGAGCCTCTTGGGAGCTGGCCTGCTGCGCGAGGACCCAGGCCCGTTCCCAGGCCCGCGACTCTCTGGACGCCCCTCTGCTGAGAGCATTTGTATTTTCTTATTTTAGCGGAGTTCCTCTTTCCAACTTGACTTCCCTGACCCGTTGACCTGTCCTCTGTGGAATCTCAGTTGCCCTGGATTTCTTACAGGCTTTAGGCTGTTTCACCAACTTGGTATTTATTTCTTCATCCTGGTCTAAGACTGTGATCAAAGCTCTATGGAGCGCTTAGCAGGGTTTATCTCGGCGCTGTGGGGTGCCCAGAAGTTCATAGGACTACGGGGCGGGGCCCGCCGAGGTCCACCCTTGCGAGAAGACTTGTTACAGGGGTCCGGCCCGCTGCCTCCGCAGCTCACAGACTAGTGCGGGAGAAGCCACAGCAAGATCTGAAACCAAAAATGCACTTAAGTGACATATTGTATGGTCGACTGAAGATCCAAAAGACAGCAGGGTCGGGGCAAACTTTTGAGCAGACTCCTAAGAGTTAGAAGGTGCTCTACATCCTCCCTCTGGAGTCTTCACCACTGCCCTAAGTGTTTTTGGACAACTGTAACCGAGGGAAGGTTTTTATGTCAAGCAGAACCCAGGCTCCTAGTGCAGAGGCTCCCATGTGGCCTTTCACATGAAGCCACACAGGGTGATTAGCTGAAGACAGTCTTCCTGTTCCCACTGACCCCCGACTCCACTGTGGAGGCCCTGCTCTCCAGGTTCTAAATGCAGCTCCAGTCCTTGTTTGGTGGGCAGGATTTCCTAACGGTGGGTGCTGCTCTGAGCACCTGGGGACTGTTCTCAATCCCCAGCGGCCAGGAGGTAGATGAAGGGAAGCTGAGGCTGCTTTGGCAGTTGGAATTTAGAGACAGTTTACTCAAGCAGCTTGTAAACTCCTGGCTTACTCCAGCCAACTCCTCAAGCTGGCTTTTTGTTACTCTTTGGCTGCCTTTGATGGTCACCAGAACCGGATTTCACTTGGAGAGAGAGGGTGAATTAGGGTTACCCGAGAACACACTGTGATTTGCCCCACGCCTGGCATTCCTGGGAGTCAGCCCTGGGGCAGGGAGTGAACAGCAGGGTTGATAAGAGGGAGGCGACCTTGGCAGAAATAAGACCTCCTTTCCTGTGTCTTTTTTCCTAGTCCTTTGCCAGCCCTGCCCCCAGGTTGTAGAGCACCTCGTGAACCAACTGTAGAGGGAATCACTGCTTGTTTCTTTGAGGGGGTCACCAACACTCATATATGTGTGGGCATAAAGGAGTGTGGGGAGGAACAGTCCTCATGGCTCACATTTATAATGAGCTGTTCCTCAACACACGCCTGACCCCTGCACAGCTATTTTTCCAGTAGGGACAAAACCCCAGCCCTCTGATGACCAACATTTTTCAGGGGTGTAAAAAACTAGGAACAAGAACCCCCCTCGGCCTCCCAAAGTGCTAGGATTACAGGCTTGAGCCACTGTGCCCAGCCAGTTTTATTCCTTCTCTAGTGCCTTGTTTTAAAGGCTATTGTACAATTTTGGGTAGGGATTTAGATGGGTCAGTCTGAACCTTGATGGGTTTAGCTCCTGTAGAATATCAGTAAAATTTTTATTTTATTTTACTATTATTTTTAATTTATTATTTTGTTTGTAGAGACGGGATCTTTCTGTGTTGCCCAGGCTGGTCTTAAACTCCCAGCCTCAAGCGGTCCTCCCACCCTGGCCTCCCAAAGTGCTTTTCTTTTTTTTTTTTCTTTTGAGACGGACTCGCTCTGTTGCCCAGGCTGGAGTGCAGTGGCACAATCTCGGCTCACCACACCCTCCGCCTCCCAGGTTCAAGCAATTCTCCTGCCTCAGCCTCCTGAGTAGCTGGGTCTACAGGCGTGCACCACTATGCTCAGCTAATTTTTGTATTTTTAGTAGAGATGGGGTTTCACTATGTTGGCCAGGTGGTCTCGAACTCCTGACCTCATGATCTGCCCGCCTTGGCCTCCCAAAGTGCTGGAATTATAGGCATGAGCCACCCCGCCCAGCCTCCAAAGTGCTTTGATTGCAGGTATGAACCACCCACCACACAGGGCCAGTAGAATTTTTGGACTATAAGAGAGCTTCAACTTAATGTTTGATTTACACACCAAAGTACTGATAAATCAATATCCAAATTAGCTATGACCTTATTATGGATAGGAAGGGCCTCAGGGACTAGAAGGAAAAAACCCTCAGGAGAGCATGTCGTGTGGCAACTCCATTCACATAATGAATCCCTCTCTATTAAGTTATTAAAGTATAGTGTCACAAAGTAGAAGAAAATGCCCCTCAGTTGAAGGTCCGAGGCACAGTTTTAGGCTGTGGCCTAGGGAAGTTGTGTTGAGGATGATTAGATAGGCGTATGACTCAAGAAGTGTATTGATATTAAGGGGAAAAAGGTATAATAGTGATCAAGTTTAAGATTGATATTTTGTGCCTATATCCATCAAGTTTGTAAGGTTGTCCTTTATGTTTTAGAGAAATGTTTCCTTATGGGTTTAAAGGCAGAATGGGAAATCGAACACCTTCATTGGTGACTTGATTTTTGCTTTTAGTTTCTTAATTCTAGGGTTCTTTCAAAATGTTCAAGGAGGTTTTGGCGATCTGGCCATGGGGCTGTTTCCCATTCTAGTTTTTATTTGCATAATAAATCCCCTATTTCTGGTTTAAGGCCATTCATGAAAAGAGAAAAGAATCCCATCACATCCGCTTCAAGATCTACTCCAGAATTCTGCCACTAGATAGTAAAGGACCTAGCCCTGAAGTCTCCATCAGACTTCTCCCTTTTACATATATACATATGTATTTTTCTTCAGTCCATGACCTGCTGAACAGACTTCTCTCTTGACAAAGAATTAATTAGAGCACATTTTGGTTTCACAGGGAAGACTGCGGATAGCCTCCAAAAGACCTTGACTAACATTCACAGCTTCCCCAAACCCCTTCAGCTTCCTATGCAATCCATGGTCTTTGAAATCACCGTTGGGCCAGGCATGGCAGCTCGTGCCTATAATGCTAACACTTTGGGAGAAGGCGGCGGGAAAATCACTTGAGCCCAGGAGTTCAAGACCAGCCTGGGCAATCTAGTGAGACCCTGTCTCTACAAAATAAATAAAAAATAATCATTGGGGGGTTTTCCATTCTGACTTTTTCATCGAATGTTTTGCATCTGAGGCTCCAACTGGCATATAAATGAATTGCTATAAATCGGGCTGCTCTGGATTATATGTTCCTAAAACAATTCGAAGTCCCATTTAGGCCTTCGTACAAGGGCTTTCAGCTAAAAATGAAAACAGGGCTTAAAATCCACCATAGAGTTTTTGGGGTTTTTTTTCTATTCTTTTTTTTTTTTTTTTTTTTTTTTTTCCTATTCTGAAGTTAAGTAAGCTTTGGGGTATTAGCCAGCCAGGAGGAAAGGGCCTGAGGTAGAGAAAAGGGCAGAGATGGAGGAGCATAGGGTAGGGGAAAAGAAATAGGTCTCAGCTGTGATATTGGGGCAGGGGAGGTCTAAAAGATAGTTTTAAGTAGTTCAGCTTTTTATTTTGCTTTGGCCAAGAAATCTGTTAAGGAAGTAATTTTTGGGGCTGGGTGTGGTGGCTCACTCCTGTAATCCTAGCACTTTGGGAGGCCGAGGTGGGCAGATCACTTGAGCTCAGGAGTTCAAGACCAGCCTGGGCAATATGGCAAAACCCCATCTCTACAAAAAATACAAAAATTAGCCTGGCATGGTGGGCAGGTGCCTGTGGTCCCAGCTACTTGAGAGGCTGAGGTGGGAGGATCGCTTGAGCCCAGGAGGCAGAGGTTGCAGTGAGCTGAGATCGTGCCACTGCACTCCAGCCTGGGTGACAGAGAGCCTATCTCAAAAAAAAAAAAAAAAAACAGAATTTTGGAATCTTGTTTCTTTTGTATGCTTGCTCATGCTAATGAAAAAAATGAAGACCACTGGATGTTTAGAATTGTGTTCACTTTGCAATCTAAAGTGAATACTTTTGTTCATATCAGAAATTCCTCATAGTGGCTACTGCAATTCTAAATTATCTTTGGGGAAATGATGATGCTATCTAGACAAGTAAGTGTACACATTTGGGTGATAGCATAAATACATGCAAGAAGCAGAAGTCTGGCCTGAGGAAGCCATAGACAGGTTGATACTGAGACAGACCCATGAGTCTGCGAATGGTGAGCTGACAGTTGCTTGTGTATTCTGTGGCTCAGGACTCCCCAGCCAACCCTGATGAATTTACAGTTCCCAGCAGACAGAGGGTCCAGAGAGATTGTTCTGAACCAAACTCTTAAAGACAAAATAAGACACATCTGAGAAAAGTTCTCATAAAGTTTTGATCAGAGACAAAATTTGTCCCTGGGCCAGCTAAGGGACAGACTTACTGAGACCTACACCTGTCCTCTTCATTAAAAACTTTCCTCTTACAGATGCACAACAAAAAAAATGACAAGGATGAACACAGACAAGTAGTAGCGTTGTTAGTAATAAGGCAGATATCCACCAAGGAGAAAATATTTTCAAATACGGTCAGATAATCAAAGGGTTCTTTATTGGTAGAAGAGAAAACAGGCTCAGTAT